ATATTTTGTTGGGTGACAAGTTGCTCAATTAAAAGCAGGTTATGTTACATGCCCTTGGCCCCTCCGAGCTGACATTGTATTGTTCAGAATAGTACATGTCACCCTAACTTATTTCCAATGCATCTGTTACATTAGTAGGTGCTAATTAAACATGCATTTGTGGAGTGACTTTACATAAGACCATTTTGCAGTTTCCTGGATTATTTATGCAACACTTAGGGATCTGTGGGTCACAAATCCTACTATAAGCTTTGCTTCCTAAAATTATTAATGGAAAGTGAAGTCCCTCTAACAGAGCTTTTACAAATGCGCTCAGAAAATATCCAAGTCCAAATATTAAAGCAAACAAAAATGTATTATTCATGCACACCATGTCCTGTATTTCCCAGAAATTTGACAAACCAACAGAAATGTTCATTATGGGAGGAGGTGCTTTAATTGAAGTTCTTCACAATTTTCCTTTTGGAAAACCAACCTGCCTGTGGGAGGATCTGATGATAGGAAGGATACCACCTACTATAGGAAGGTGATAGATGTCAAGATTGTCTGGTGGCTGGGAGATTGGTATGGCCCGGTAGGTCTCACCATCCCGATCCAGTGTGGCCATGGCCCTTCCTGGCATTCCCATGCCTCCTTGTCAAATGCACCTCCAAACCTTGAGTCTGGGGCTAGAGACCTAGCTTAGTTAAAAGACTGCTTGCCTACCATGCACAAAGCCCTAAGCTTGAGCCCCAGCACCATATAAAATTCGATATGGTGTGATACATCTGTAATCTTAGCACTCAGGAAGTAGAGGCAGGAGGATCACAAATTCAAGGTCAACCTTGGTTACATAGCAAGTCTGAGACCAAACTTGGATGCATGAGACCCCATCTAAAACACAAAACCAAAAACCAACCAACCAAACAACACACCACCTCAAATCTGAGCATTAATTGCTTTAGGAACCCCCAGTCTTCTCAGATTTTCTGAATGACCCTGTAACACTGTGGTGGGCCTCACTGTGAAAGGACCCTTTTCTCGACTACAGTAGTTTCCTTACCTTAATTCCTTTCACTGCTCTGGATCTCTCTTTCTTCCTTTTCAGAATGCCACATCTATGAACTGAGAAACAGGTCTTGGTGTATTAAGCCAATGGCCTTAATTCTTAACCCAAAGTAGCGTCCAGGCATCTCTGCAAAGCTCTAGGGTGGAGACAATTTATCTCTGCTTAACTTGCTTTCTTCCAAGTTATTTGATTTCAGAAACTTTCTCCTAGTAATAGATTGGTATCTCTCAGAATCAGCAGAAAATATTTTGAGAAGGCTACAATATACCCTCTTTGAAAGACTGTTCTAACTCAAATGGCCATGGTGGTCTGTAGCTAGAGTTTTCCTGCTTGGCCCACAGTCAGGACAAATCTTTGTCACCTGCCAGTCCCACAGCTGCTCAGACCCAACCAAGTAAACACAGAGACTTATATTGCTTACAAACTGTATGGCCGTGGCAGGTTTCTTGCTAACTGTTCTTACAGCTTAAATTAATCCATTTCCATTAATCTATACCTTGCCACGTGGCTCGTGGCTTACCAGCATCTTCACATGCTGTTTGTCATCGCGGCGGCTGGCAGTGTCTCTCTGACTCAGCCTTCCACTTCCCAGCTTTATTCTCCTCCTTGTCCCGCCTACACTTCCTGCCTGGCCACTGGCCAATCAGTGATTTATTTATTGACCAATCAGCAACACACTTGACATACAGACCATGCCACAGCAGTGGTCCTCTCCCTTCATCTCCCCTAAGTCTCCCTGTCCTCACACAAAGGGTATCTAAACGTCCAGCTCTCGCAGCAGCTTGCCTCAAAGACTTCATCCAGTCAAAAATTAAATATAAAAAGATACTTGAGGGGCTGAAGAGATGGCTTGTTTCTATCTTGCTGCTCTTACAGAGGACCCACATTCAGGTCCCAGCACCCACATGGCAGCTCACAACCATCTGTAACTCAGGTTCCAGGGGATCCAGCTCCCTCTTCTGGCTTCCATGGGTACCAGGCACACATGGGGTGCACAGGCATACATGCAGGCAAAACACTCATACATATAAGACAAAACAATTTGTAAAAAGTTCCTTGCGCCTGGATATTTTCTCTGCCTGCCAGTCACATAGTTCAAGGCGTTTAACACACAGCCCCGAATACAGTAAGCTAAAGAAAGCCGTAAAGCCTGACTAATGCTCACTGTGATGGGAAAGACGCTTGGGGTTTCAGCCAAATCTTGTAAATTTAGCAAAGAATATCAGAGCAACTCCTTCTGTTACCCTAAATGTCAGGGGCTCTTGCATTTTCATGAAGAACACACAGGTCTTGGTTTTTAAAGGTCTTATGTGAGCATGTTCGTGGAAAAATCACAAGCTTGTCTGCACTGTGACAATGTATGCTACAATCAGAGGCATGAGGGTCTTTGTGTTCATTAGATCAAGGCCCAGCACTCTAAGAGAGCTCCCAATGACCTGTCTTGGGATCACTATGACCAAGTCCTCCCGACCTGAGCCAAGTTTCAAACAAAATATATTGCATGTTTTCTTGCTCCACCATCTGAAATTCTACTAGGGAAGCTATGTTCTACTTAAAATCATGTTCAATATAAAGACTAGATTGGGGTTATTTCTTGTTGAAAAATAATTGTGTGTGTGTGTGTGTGTGTGTGTGTGTGTGTGTGTGTGTGTGTGCATGTGTGTGCATGTGTGTGAGTACTGCATACCACAGAGAATGTGTGGAGCGAACTTCAGGTCCTTGAGATAAGGTCTCAGTGCCATGTGCTAGGCTAGCAGCTCGAGAGCTTTGGGAATTCTCCTGTCTGGCTGTAGGTGCACTGGGATTACAGATGCAGCACACCACACCCAGTGTTACAGAGATTCCAGCTTGGGGCCTCACTTTCAAGGCAAATGTTTAATCCATTGAGCCATTTTCCCAACCACCAACCTCGAAGTGTTTCTTTTTCTTTTCAACGTTTATTTATTTTTCTGTTATGTGTATGAGTGCTTGCCTGCATGCATGCATGTGTGCCACATGCATTCAGTGCCCTTGGAGCCCAGAAGAGTGCATTGGATGGATCCTCTGGAACTAGTTATAGACTGTTGTGAGCCACCATGTGAGTGTTGTGAACCAAACCCAGAATCTTTACAAGAGCAGGAAGTGCTCTTAACAGCAGAGATGACCCTTCAGCATCACACCCATAGATTTCATTATAATCTTGTAACAATTGTCCCTGAATCCTTGGGAAATGAGAGCTTCTCATAGGAAATGGTTTAGAATTTTCACATGGTCTCTCCTCCCTTGATCACTTATAATGTCCAATGTATACTCTATGTAAGTTGTCATTGTACTGTATTGTTTAGAAAAATAAGAAAAGTCCATTGTTCAGATAGATTCAGGGCAGACATATTTTTCCAAATATTTTAACCTGTTTTTGTTTAATATATATTATATGTAATTTGTATGTACATGTGTGCGCTTGTGTGAGTTTTTGCATGCCACATGTGTGCAGGAGCCCACAGAGGCCACAGGAGGGCAATAAATCCCTGAAACAGGAGTTCCACATGGTTGGGTGCTTTCACGTAGATGCTGGGAACCAAACCCAGGTGATGAGCAACAGCAGCACACACTGCTAACCATGGAGCCATCTCTCCAAGCCCCCCAGTATTTTCAGCTGCAGCATCTTGAGCTCATGGAAGCAGGAGCCACAGCTGCAGAGATCAATTCCGCTTCCTCTCCTGAGCACCTTGCTCGTCTCTATTTTTTCAGTTGGTGAATTCTTCCCAGGCTCTGGTCCACCATGAAGTCCACACGTGATCTGTGGAAGACGAACTCTGTTCTAAGGTGTCTGGATGCTCAGCATCTTATAGCTACAAGACTGCTAGTTCTCAAAGCAAACTAGGTCCCATTTGAGTTTCATTATCTCACTTTTGATTTCTGACTTTGTGGTATGCCTAATAACTCAACTGTTTCCAGACACACTGCCTCCACATTTCCTTTCTCATGGATGTTTCTATCTTGCTTTGATTCACCTAGCTTTGACTTCCCCCACTGGAAGCCACCTACAATTATAGCCAATTCTTATTTATACAAAATAGGTCCATTTCAGCGTAGTGGGCCACAGAGGAGTAACAAAGAGTGTTGAATATGCACAGTAAACAAAGCACATGGCTGCTCGGCTGGGCCAGTTTACAGCTAAATGGCTGTGCTTTGATTGTGCTAGGTTCACAAGCCACTCAGGCATCCTTTTCTCGGGCTTGCCTTCTAGATGACCTCGTAGCAGTGGCTCAGTTCAGCTTTTGTCTTTAAGAAGGCTTCTTTGATTGCATGAGCTCAAGTAGCCTATGAATGAATATACATATGTATGTGTATATACATATACATATATACACACACACACACACACACACACACACACACACACACACACACACACACACAGAGTGTGCTTCAGGCGATTGATAAAATAAAAGCTCCTGAGAAAGGCCACCCTAAGTTCATCTCTAGCCTTCATGCATGCATGTGCATGTGAATACACACACACACACACACACACACACACACAGAGAGAGAGAGAGAGAGAGAGAGAGAGAGAGAGAGAGAGAGAGAGAGAGAGAGAGAGCTCTCCTATTGTTTGTTCTAAGTTCCAGGCATTTACCACAGCCTAGTTGGTAGTAAATGAATATGGAATTCTTATGAGTTTACTCGCCTTTCTGACAGACAGGCCATGATAATACACTTGAGCATCTAGCCTGGTTTTGAGAAAAAAAAATCCAAGAACTGGCATTGTGATTAACTGTCTCAAACTCATAGTAAATAGGAGATATACAGATGGGTCAAAGGGAAAGCCCAGAGGGTTCAAATCCTACAGCTGGAGGATTATGGGAACCAGGGCAATGGGAAGGGGTACAGAGTGTGCCATGTCATCTGTAAAGCACACACCTCTGATGACTGTTTATGTGTCTGTGTCTTTGTATATACCAAGGCCTGCTGATGCCGCCAGGAGACAGAAGGTCGAGCTGATATTCATGTGGCTCTGCCCTAAGTCTGCTTTGTGAACTTGGGAGCTGTGGGACACCTCCCTGAGCCACAAGTTCCTCTTCTTGAAAATGAAGTGCTCTCCCTATATCGAAGAAGGTAGGCCTCTGTCCACTCCTCCATCCTCTTTGCTGTGCAGTGGCTCAGGGTCAGTTACAGACTTGGCCTCTGATAAGGTGCTGGCTATCCCTCCACTTCTTCTTTCAACAAGATCTTTTCAAGATAATTTTAGAAACCCTCAAGATTAAAAAAAAAATACATATAGTGTCTCCTTCCCTTTTAGGTAGCTCCCCAAGAGCCCTAGCTCACATCCACCCACAGTGTCCCCAGCCCCTTCTCCAAGAGTTCCTCTGAGCTTGAGATGGACCCTCAATTTCAGATGGTCAGGAAGGATTCAAGACAAGAATGGAGACACTGTGTCAACAGTAAGATTCTGTTCTGTTGAGAAGCAGATTCCACAGAAGTCATATTAGCCAGCCACCCTTCTGGTGCTTAAATTCCCCTTACAGTTTATGCAGTGGTGGTGGTGTGGGTGGGTGGGTGGGGGGGAGCTGACTCAGCTGTCTTCCAAGGAGCCCATCACACCTCTGAAGTGCAGTGGCAGTGCTGGTGGCTAAAGCCCTCTCACCTCCCCCGCTCTAACCCAAATGCCGTCCATTGTTTTCATTTAGAAGTCTAACCCGCCCCCCCCCCACACACATAATGATTACATATCCATTAAAAGAAATGTTTTAGACCAGACAATCTATTCCACCGGTTCTTATAGCATGTCAATATCTATCAACTCATCACTTTCTTTTTTCTCTCTCTGAACATTTCTAGTTAAAAATTAATATTAGTGCCCAGTGTTTAGTCTCCGCGAATAATTTACAGTCTTTCCTACAAGGATATTAGAGGTAGCTTTCTGGTTTTTTTTTTTTAATTTCAGATTTATTTATTTGGTGTGCATGATTATTTTGCTTGCATATATGTATGTGTACCTTGAGCATGCAGTGCCCACAGAGGTCAGAAGAAGGCACTGGGATCCCCTGAAACTGTATGGTTGTGAGCTCCAGTGTGGGTGCTGGGAACTGAACCCAGGTCCTCTGCAGGAAAAACGAAGACTCCTAGCTGCCAAGTCATCTCTCCAGGCCCGCCTTGTGATACTCTTAATCAAGACTGAGAACAAGGTCCAAAGTCTAGCGTCTTTCCTCGTCTGTAGCCCTGGTGGCACTGTCATGGACGAAAGAACTGTGTCTGCCGTGACTTGTTCTTGAGAACCAGGGCTAGTCCTGCCGCATCACCATTCTTTTCGTGATACTGTTGGAGAAAGAACACCACTGGTGTGACACAAAGGGACACAAACGAAGTGAAACTATCTCACCAAGACAATTACTATTTTTGCAAAAAGGCTCTGCGATGACCCAACCTGGAACAGCAAGCACACTAGGGCTGTAAGTTCATTGACTTTTATCCTAGCGCTGGGTGGTGATTATGTCTTACCACATTGGTGGAACCGTGACCTCACAATATGATGCAATTAGCCAATCCATAAGCAGTGTGACTGGGAGAGAGTGGAATAGAGTCCGGTCTTGGGAATGTCTGGCATGCAGGAGTCGGGCAAACAGGCAAGAAACAGATGTCACAAGGTGAGAGAGGTTTGTGGAAACTGGCCCTTGGTGGGCTAGCCCTTGTTGATAGCGTAGGGTCTGAGGAAATGCTGAAGGAAGACCCCAGACTCAAATAGTATGTAAAGTCAAAGAGCATGTGTTACACCAGCATATGCAGGGTTAGTCACCTGTACAAACTGGGAACAGCCCTGAGGGGAGCACGGAGGCTCCTTTAAGCACAGCTGAGGGGAGTTTTAGGGACAGTTAGGTCATCTCATACATAGCTGGTTAAGCAAGCAGCAGTTACATCAGTATACTTTTAATTGGCTGAGGTTAGTCTTATCATTTTTGGACATACTTGCACAAGCTTGGGCAAGTCTGGACGTGACTCAGTAGGGGCTGCAGGATTTGTCCTTGAGATACTGTGAGACTGACCAAGGCCCTGTGTTTGGTCTCTCCCTCATCCCTAAATGTAAGGGCCTTGTGGATGAATGGCCCTTTGTTGGGAGAAACACCTGCTTTGCCTTTCTCAGAAAACTGAAATGTAAATTCACTTGTGAGAATGGAGAGTTTAACCTGTTCAATAGAAAAGACTGTTCCTCACAGAAACAATCCATTCTAGCATCTGGATCAGGACTCAATTTCAGTTCTCTGATAATCAGAACACCCCAGTGTTTGGACCTTCCTTACTCTCTACAGATTCCTAACAATGACTCAGCAATGTCTTCCCCGGGATTTCTTGTCTTTTCTCTCTCCTGATAAAGGATGAACCACCCCAATCAAAGTGAAATGGGACATCAAGAGAACAGGAACCCAGATGAAGTCTGCCAGCAGGAATTCCAGCCTGATTAACAACATTTGCAGTGGCATTTGCCTGATGGAGACAATATTCTTTTTTTTTTTCTCTTTGAGAATCTCTTTGAGATTCAAATAAGAATGTTAAAACAGCAATGGATGCCTAAGCCTAAGCATGTATGGCCTTAATCCTTGCTCGGCTGGAAAGCTGTGATTTCCTGGGAATCTCACAAACAATGTGCCATTTGCAGTAAACGAACTTCATCCAGCAAGGCTGTACCACCAAAACCTCCCCCAAACAGTGCCACTATCTGGGGTCCAAGTGTTCAAATGCTGGAGACTATGGGGGACATTTTTCACTCAAACCACTACAACAAAAGGAAGTTCATAAAAGAACTTCTCTGGCTGCTACAGATGGCCACATGGAGCTGTGTCTATGGCCTGTACCTCTGCTGCTAGCAAAGCAGAAATCACTGAGCTTGGTGGCCAACACATGCCATTCCAACTATTTGTGAGGCTGAGGCAGAAGGATGCTAGCTGGATGCCAGCCTGGGTATTCCACCAGACCTTGTTTCTAAATAAAACAGGGTAGGGGTGTACCTTGGTGGTAGACCCCTCAATTCTATCTCCCAGACCATGGCAGGGCATCTGTGTCTGGTATGAACCCTCTTCTCTGTAAGCGTGATATTTCTGAGGTCCCAGAAGTCAGTTTGGCAGCAGTTTTATGATCTTGAAAATTCAGTCCACTGTCTTCTTTTGGTCCAAATGATCAGGTATAGCAGAGTCCCAGAGCAAGAAAACTCCACAGCAGCCACAGATGACAACTGGAACCTGTTTGAATCCTTCCCAGCATGCATCACGTCACCCATAGGAAAGAAAGGGAACTATATTTATTTTCTGCACTCTGGCTGGGTGTCATCAGCGGATCTCTCCTCTGAGAAGGAAGGCGGTGTCTGCTGGTCTGGATTAAAACACATTAGCAGGGGAAGCATATGGTCATTTACAGAGCGCCTGCTCCCACACTGAGCCAAGGTTAACAAATTAATGAAAAGGAAGAATGCGGTATAAATGTTGAGCCTTATTAAACATGAGATCATCGCTCCCAGCTATCTTTATTAGAGAAGTTCTCCCTCCTCCTGTGTGTACACACTGAAAATTGTTCTTCTGAGAGCTAATTGTGTTTCTGAGGATGAAGGACAGTGGCTCGCTGTGTGACTGTGAGCATGGACTCTGCTCCAGATGGGTTTTATTGAGATGATACGGGAAGAAATAGTGCTATTTATTTAAGGACAGCGCTGCATTTTCTTTTGTTCCTTCAACAGGTTACTAATTACACGAGTAGTAATTAGCCTTGACAGAGAGTACACAAGAAACGACAAATGGATACTGTGCGCACGGAGGGGCCTCTGTGAGGCCAGGCTTATTATTTTCAGTCGCGCTAATTATCCTTATTATGCCGCGTGACTCTTTTTTGCTTGAATTATGAGTGAAAAAGTGCTGAATAGAATTATTTTTCCAAAGTGCCCTGAACTATAGAGGGAAATGAAAATCACAAACAATGAGAAGCTTGTTAAACAATGAGAGTGATCGTCTATAAAGGCATCCTGAGGGAACATCCCTTTTCCTGTGCCATAGAAATGTAAAGTGCTTCTCAGAAAATGAACAGGGTTTTGTTTTTTTTGTTTTTTGCACATGAACGATGGTAAGAAAAAAGCTGATCCCAGCTCAGCCTGCAGGCAGTGGCAACAGCAGTTAGAAGGAAGATGGGAAGTCATGAATTTTTACAAAAGAACAGAAGCTGGGGCCACACTTATTTACTTGGCTTCATTCACTCATTCATTCATTCATTTTGCTTTGCTGGGAAATGGACCCTGGAACCTCCTGACTGTCAGGCATGTGCTCTACCAGTAAGCTACATCCCCAGCCAGCCCCAACGCTTGGGCCTAACAAATATGTGATTATGAATCCACGTAATTAAAGCCTGAGCGAACAGACTCTTCTAAGTGAGGGAAGATGGCTGAGTGCCTGCCTGCCTCACACACTACCTCCAGACTGATCTGGGCAGGAGGAGGTTTCAGTCTGGAAAGAGTAACAATATGATCCTTTCCTCATCCACCCCTTCTCTGATGCCTCTTCTCAGTGAGGCCTAGAAACACCACCTCACTGGTGGGGTCCGCTTTTGTGAACTCCATCCTGAAATTTGGTTTGAAATTTCCTCACTGTCCTCTGTGCTTCTCTCTTTGCACCAGATGTGCTTAAATGTCAGCAATGTCTTCACCACCTGGACTCCAACACAAGATGAAGAGGGGAGAAATGGTAACCGAATGCCTAGGATCCAAGCTACCGAGGATTGCAGACTACAGAAGGTAGGCCTGGCCTCTGGGCACGAGCCAGCTTCCCTTTCTCCTGCAGCTCCAGTCTGTCCCATGAGTAAGACATGCAATCCAAGGATCACCGGGGAGGCGCTCGGCTTTCTTCAGCCTCCTGGGCTTCTTCCACCAATACAGACGCACATCATTTTCAGTTGTCTCGATTGAGCAGCTGTCTGGGATTCCAGAGGGACGGAATGGAGATGCTCCCAGGAGTTCAGGAAGAGGCAGATTCTTTTTAAGGACGCCCAGACCCTGGAGAGCAACACCAACTAAGAATACAGCCTTGGTTCCAGGGTAAAGAGTGACTCAGTACCGTCATTTAGTGTGTCGACAGTCACATACTCAAGGAGTTGGGCTGAAACATTCTTAAACTGCAAGTTGTGGGCTCTCTGCATAGGCTTAGAAATGTCAGCCTGGAAAAGCATTCAACTAATAATTGCTCAGCGTTATCTCCCTCTAACCCTCCATCACACATGATGAGCTTAGGAAGACAGGTCATTCTCCAAATGAGAATGTGCTGTGGTAAAATCTACTTAAGAGAGGTAGTAGGCATTGAAGAAGCAAATTTGGTTGTTTAGCTAGGATACAATTCCATTTCTGCGTGTGATACTGTAACATAGGTCAGATATGTCCATGGTCCAGTGGTCTAGAGCCCAGCCCAGCCCAAACGTATTGGAAAATTATTGTTGTGCCCTGTGTTTCACGCTCTCCCATCCAGCTTTGGTTCACTCTTTCCAAGTCTCATTAAGATGAAGACATTCCAGTGTTGTGCTTTTAAGTGTCTTCCCAGCATTTTCCTGGAGTTGAATGTGAAATTCTTGGAGGCACTCTACCAAAATATGACATTGACCTATTTGACCAGGGACTAACTTGATGTCCACTTGCTCTGTTCACACAAATTGGCTCATAGTGTCCACAACCAAGCTTGTTCTATAATGGCCTGGCTGATGCAGACAAAGTTCTAGAAAACTAAATCAATCATTCTAGTGAAAATGCTTCCCAACTAATTTTGAGGAATGTTTCTGATGCCATCATTCACTTTTTCTGTCTGAAGGTGGCAGAGGGGCTGCAAGAGAAGGGTAATATAGGTGGATTTCTCCATCTAGACTGCGACCAGCTCTGTCCCACCAGCTGCTCCCCAAATAACCACACAGAGACTCAATATTAATTATAAATGCTTGGCTGATAGCTTAGGCTTGTTTTTAGCTAGCTCTTATAACTTAAATCAACCAATTTCTATTAATCTGTGTACTGCCCTGAGGCTCATTTACCTCATACATGTACTTCCCATATTGCTCAATGCTCTGTGTCTCATGACGTCCTCTCAGACTCTGCCCTTCTTCTTCCCAGCATTCTCTCTGCCCCCAAAATCCTGTCTAGTCATTGGCCAATCAGCTTTTTATTAACAATGAGAGCAGCATGTCTTCACAGTGTACAAAAGGATAATTCCACAGCAGAATGATCTAGAGAGACAGTCTTCAGAGGTGGATCTGTGGTACAACAGATCACATATTATGTTTCTGGTGAGGAGAACAGTTGCTAAGACTGCAATTTTGAGACTACCCTTTCCTTCTTACAGGCCCAGAGAGAATGATTTATACCTTTTTGGGTGATGTAGAAATAATTTCAAAGGGGTTATGTTAGATCATTTTCTAAAAGTTCAGATAGTTTCTGGTCTCCAGTAAGCACTACATTCATGAGTGTTTGTTATTATCATTATCATTTTGTATGTGTTGTAGTCACTTAAAACTGGACAGTATGCATTGGCATATTAAAAATAATGGTGTAGATGCAACCAACTGTCTTATTAAATAAGAAACACAGAGCCGATTCAGAGAAGAAAGCCAAGAGGTCAGAGCTAAGAGCCTCACCCTTCCTGATTCAGGGATCCTCTTCAGCCAAGAGAGCTCTCCGAAAAGGGGACCTACTTCCTGTGTGTGTCTTTATATAGTCTAGCTGTTCTGCCTTCTCATTGGTTGTAAACCCAAACATGTGACTGCCTTGTCACTGCCTGAATGTACCGCCCTCCAGGTCCTTAAAGGTGTGCGCCACTGCCGCCACGCACTTGCTATGGCTCTAATAGCTCTGACCCCCAGACAACTTTATTTATTAACATACAATTAAAATCACATTTCAGTACAAGTAAAATACCACCACATAATGGTATTCCTACAGTGAGAAAGACAGCAATGTGCCCATCCAGGGGGGCCGTGTTTTGCAATGGAAGGTAATTCACACTGTTGGAAATTAACTCCAAGTGTAGAATGGTTTAGAAATCCAGACTTAGTGACTCACTGATCTTTTTAAAAAGTATTTTATTAATTCTTTGAGACTGTCTTATGATGTGTGAATATATATCATATTCACCATCAACTCCTCCCCCTGATTCTTCCCAGATCTACCCCATCTCCCTACCCATTCCAACTTTATATGCTCTTAAAACACACACACACACACACACACACACACACACACACACACACACACTTTTTTTTAAATTTAATAACTCATGGGCTTCAATTTGTGCTGCCCATACCCTTCTGGATTCAGGGTCATCTACTGGGGTCAACATCCAGGGAAACTCACCCTTAAAGAAAACCGATTTTCCCTCCCCCAGAAGGCATCAACTATCCATAGCTCCTCAGTTAGGGGTGGGGCTCATGAACCCCTTCCCACTCCATACTGGAATGCTTACTGGCTTGATCTTGTGCAGGTGACCACAGCTGCTATGAGTTCTTGCATACAGCAGTTCTGTCATGTCCAGAAGACAATGTTTCCCACAGTCCTTCTGGGCCTCTGGCTACCACCATGTCTCTGTCCCTTCTTCTGAGATGGTCCCTGAGGTATGGGGCATGGGTGTGATACAGATGTCCCATTTGGGACTGAATACCCCGCTGACATTTACTCTTTGCATTTTGACCAGTTGTGGGTCTGTCTTACCCACCACACACCACACAAAGAATGTTCTCTGATGGGGTCTGAGAACTGCATTAACTTAAGGACGCAGAAACATAGGAGGTCAGTTTAGTAGAATAATAGCAGTAGGTTCACCCTGGGGTCTGTCACTGATCTTGAATCTACATGGCCCTTAATGCTCCTTAGTGTAAGGCCAAGTCCTGTGTTCTTGACTTGACTTTGCAACGCCCTTTGTAGGTGTGGTTTGCATGACCTTGACCTCTAAGCCCACACTTTCCTCTATCTGTTGTATTTCCCACACACCTAACTCTCATTGACAGCACCTACACATGCTTCAGGATCTGGCTCCCAGAGGCTTCCCTGGATGTTCTCCCAGTCTCGGTATGCCTGGCATCCTGATGTGCCTAACTGTGTTGCCCTTGGGTTTGCTACTCTAACTTTATAAGTTCTTACTTTTTGCTTTTGACACAAAACACAGCTCGTGCTCAAAGCGAATAAGAGAGTTTATTCTGTGCCGAATATGAGGAACTGTGACTGGGGCACACATATTCAGGTTGCCCCATGTGACAGGTTCTCCTGGGGAAGCTGTTACACAAGTTTTACAGTCATGGGACAAACAGAAGTTAGAAACCAAGGTGCTTGGCAAGTGTGTTGGTAAGGATATTGAGTAGATGTCCAGCAGAGCAGGGAAATTTCTGATATTGGTTTCAGGTGCAAGCTGTTTCCATTCTGAGATTTGGGTTAGTCAAAGCCAACAGTCTCCTAAGTTAACACATTCCAAAAGATGTCGGTCAGGTGGTTAGGTAGGTGATAGATGGCTAAGGAGACTAAAGATAACCCATGATAATCTTGGCTCTTGATCTGCAACATTACAACTTCCCATAGTCACTAAGTTTTAATCAGTCTGCATAATCCTCAATGTAGGTAATAAGGCTTTTTCAAGGAACTTCCCTTAACACTCCCAAATGATGCTTTAGAATTCCTTTCTTCTTCTCCCCTAGTATCATGGGAACTCCTGGAGGATGAGTATGTGAGTGTTGAATTCACTACAGTTGCTCACAGCTTGTCCACATGCACCATTCGTTTATAGAATAAATTATATTGAGCCTGCACAAAGGTGATGACGCTACATTCTCCATCATCCCGCACGCAAACTTCACAGCTCAGATGAATTAATAATTTAAAATTAGATTTCACCTCCTGCTAATGCATAGGATATGGCAGGGTCTGGCTTATCCTGTGGCCGTATGCCATTAGGAAATTCTAAGAGGATGTTAAGGTTTGGGTCATCTGCCAATAGTTGCCTAGGCACCAGTCTTTCACCACAGAACACCTTTGTGGGTGGAGTTGCTGAGCTGCAGAGCTGGGAAGGAGACCCTGGACTCTTTATTTGCATAGCAAGCACATTGCTTGTTCACTCACCTGAGATACAGTGTCTGTGTGTGTGTGGGGGGGGGGGGGGATGATGAAGCCCTGCCCACCACCAAGCCAGGAAAGATGCTTTGCACGTTCACAGGCAATTGAAAACATGCCCCCGTCCCCGCCAGGTTGTGCTGCTACCAGACCCTCCAGTTAAATGTGGGAAGAAGTTATGCGGAAAGTCTAGAACACAGGGACAAGCCCTGACATACGTGTCTATACTCTGAGAGGCTAGCAGATGGAGTGGCTCCCTAGCGAACTCCAACACCTGAAATTCAAATTTCCTGGCGAAGGGAGTAAGGTGCCATGTTATTTGTTGACAGTTATGAGCCATAATTGTGCTTAAATCGCCCTGCAAATTGTGTCTGCTCTGCCCAAATAACTGTGCCTGGGTTTACAGCTTGCCTTGAGAAGTCACTCCAATACTATTAGATTTTTAAACAGCCCAAATGCAGAGTTTAGCAATTTATGCCTCTGGAAAATTATAGATTTTTGTTAAATATATCCTTCAACTATAAAAATGAGAGCGACCAATTTTGTGTATCTCGGTGTGTTGTTTGTGTGGCTAAAAGTCAGGTTGCCATCAACGGAGAGAATTAAACATGAGTCAATGGCTAAGAAAACTTTCAAAGATTCAGATATAGATAGCTACTTTTAGC